GAAATTACAAATTTAACCCTCCAATTTCGAATTTATATAGAAAATTTTAAAAATTATTTAATAAATTTTTAAATATACAATTTTTTAAACTAGAAAATATGATGATATTGGGTAATGATCGAAAATTTTGGATTTCTGTGCGACGATATGATATTTCTTATGCTGAAGTGAGTTGAATCAAACTATACTCCACATGGTTTTACGTGCCTCAAATTATAAGTCTTGTTCAATGAATTTATCTAATTATCTCGAATTACGAATTTAATCCATATGGGTGAAACTTTTTTGTCTTTTTAATTTAACCTTACTAGGATTTGGTGTTTGTATTTAATTAGAATTTGCCACGTCATAGGCTCGACACGTGGCTCGATTTCAAAAGGCGAGAAATGACGTCATGATGATATCGGAGATTGGATAGAATTTTGTTTATATTTTTGGAGGGAAAAAAAGAATAATATTTAAACCCAAAAATTGTATGCAGATCCTACGGCCAGCAAGAAATCATCAGAACCCACGCAGAGGGGACCACGTGACCTTCACACGTGTGACGCCGTGGATTTTATTTTATTTTATTTTTGTTGGTAATTTTAATATTTGGAAGAGGGAGATTCGGGATTGGAGGTCAGGGTGGCGTGCCAGTGACGTGGCTGCTCCCGGAGAAAGGGTAAAGTTGGAAATGTGAGTGAAAATATGTAAAGTGGGACCGGTGGGGACCACGGTATAGGGGGGATTAGGGTTGAGGGGTAGGAGCTGAAGGACGTGGTTAAGTTGAGTTAATTGGAGTTAGAGGGAGGCGGGGGGTTGAATATTAAAAAATCAAAAATTGAGGGACTGAATTATAATTTGATTGACAGGCTGTGTACAGCTGTACACCAAATTCTGAAACCTTCTCCATTTCCAGCCTGTTTGTAACTAATGCTTCTCTCTCATGAAATTCATTCTTCGTCTTCCTTCTCTGTTTTTGTACTTTCTCCTCCTACGAACAGTGAACGATTTTGCGGTTTTTGTTATGGTAGTGTGATTGATTAGGTGTTAGCCATCGAAGTGGGTTTTGGTTTGTGTTCTTCTTCTGCTTAGGTTGTACTATCTGTTTCCATTTCTGCACTGCATTTCTGGGTTCTCAAACCCTGAAGCGAAAGAACCGCTGTGGAATCGAGGTTATTCTGATGGTAATGGAGTTTCTGAGGGTATCTATGCGCCATTTTGCACGCATTTTTAGGTTTTGCTTCCATGATTAAGATTCTTTGCTCTGACAGATTCAACTCTCGCTTTCTTTGCGAGTTGTTGTTGTTGTTACTGCTGCTGTTGTGAGTTGTTCTTGCGTGTTGAGGTGTTTTAGTGAAGTGCGGAGGGGTGTCCATGGATCCCTGCCCATTTGTGCGTCTTACCGTCGGGAATCTGGCTCTTAAGGTTCCGGTGGCGTCTAAGCCGGCACGTTCGGTTGTTCATCCTTCTTCGTCTCCTTGCTTTTGTAAAATCAAGTTTAAGAAATTACCGGTGCAAACAGCTGTTGTGCCGTTTATTCAACCGGATAATCAGTTTCCCGATGGGCAGGTTCAGTCCACGGCGGCTACTTTTCATCTTAGTAAGTTTGATCTCGACAAGCTCGCTGGAAAATCTTTATTCGCTTCGAAACCGTGCCTCAAAATTTCAATCTACAGCGGGCGGAGAGGCACGACCTGCGGCGTCGACTCCGGAAGGCTCTTGGGTAAAGTGTCTGTACCTTTGGATCTGGCGGGAACTGAAACTAGGGCAACAGTGTTTCACAATGGGTGGATTTCAGTGGGGAAAGAGTCCAAGGATTCTTGTGCGCAATTCCATTTGAATGTGAAAGCCGAACCCGACCCGAGATTCGTGTTTCAGTTCGACGGCGAGCCCGAATGTAGTCCACAGGTGTTCCAGATTCAGGGCAACATCAGGCAACCCGTATTCACCTGCAAGTTCAGCTTCAGAACGGGCGACCGGGCTCAAAGATCCAGGTTAGCTACAAAATAATCCCTCATTCTCCGCTAATCTTAATAACTTTTTCTTTATTTGTCGAATTTTTTTCAACTGGTGTTCGCCTTTTAGAGGTAAAATTTTAGTTGCATTATCCTTCAATCTCGGTTCGTATCTATGATCTTTTTAGCTTGCACACAAATTCTTCCTTTCCGCGCGTTCCTAGATTGTGTTCTTAGAATTTGAATGCTCGAAACCGGAATGCGTAAAGCTTTCCATGTAGTGTACGGTAAAGTTACACTAAATTCTAGGGCTCTGCTTTACTCTTTCCTTAATGTAAGATTAAGAGCTAAAAAAAGCAAGAGACAGAAATTAAGGTTGTAAATGGGTATTATTGCATCTTTATTCTCAATGCTTCATCCTCACTAAAATCTTCAAGTTGCAGTTATTATTCTCTGTCCCCCACGCCCCACTTTTCTTTGATCTCTTACTTTATTCAGCATTTGAATGATGTTGCTAGTTTAGGTAATTTTACTTGGCTATTATTCAACTGTTTGTTCTTGTCAATTCTAACCTGGTCGGGTTCCCTATTTTGGATTCGTTCCAGATCATTGCCTACAGAATCAAGCATTTCAAGGGGGTGGCTTAGCTCGTTCGGAAGCGAAAGGGAGCGCCCAGGAAAAGAGCGGAAGGGTTGGTCAATCACCGTCCACGACCTTTCCGGTTCACCCGTCGCCGCGGCTTCAATGGTCACACCATTCGTTGCGTCGCCGGGTTCCGACAGAGTCAGCCGGTCCACCCCCGGTTCATGGCTAATTCTTCGACCCGGAGACGGCACATGGAAGCCATGGGGCCGGCTTGAGGCTTGGCGCGAGCGAGGCGGATCAGACGGTTTAGGCTACCGGTTCGAGCTGATTCCGGACACGAACGGTGGGATGAGCGCGGCGGGGATTGTTCTGGCAGAGTCTGCTCTGAACATGAACAAGGGGGGGAAGTTCGTGATCGACCTTGGTGGAAGCTCGAACGGGAGGTCGACGCCGGCGAATCCGACGTCGCCGGCATGCAGCCCGAGGAGCAGTGGAGACTATGGGTACGGACTATGGCCGTACTGCGTGTATAGAGGGTTCGTGATGGGGGCAAGCGTGGAAGGGGAAGGGAAATGCAGCAAGCCGAGAGTGGAAGTGAGCGTGCAGCACGTGAACTGCACAGAAGACGCGGCCGCATTCGTGGCATTGGCAGCGGCCATCGATCTTAGCATGGACGCTTGCAGGCTGTTCTCACAGAAGCTGAGGAAGGAACTGTGTCAGCCATTGGATCTTGTTGCTTGAGATTCCATCTCATCTCTCCGAAAAAAATGGAACAAAACAAGTCCCGTGATCCTTTTTTTTCTTTTTCTTTTTGAATGCGTTAGGGTTTTTTAAATGGCGCAATTTGTGGTCGATGGATTTTTTATTCCATCGTCTATGTGGAATTTGGGTTCTGCTAACAAACATTTTACAGAGTTATTGTACAGTCTGTAAGAGAGAGAGAGAGAGAGAGTAGAGACAGACAGAGCACTGTTTTTTTTTTTTTTTTTTT